GTCCCTCCCACTTGCTGCAAGAAGGCAAATGGTACAGAAATTTACGTGTTCTGACGGCGGAAGATCTCTGTTTTAAAATAGCTGCGTCTGTATTTGCAGCTCTGGGTTGTGGCATGCGTGTGACGGCTGCTGTGTGGGCACGGCTGGATGGGAAGCGGGCTGTCTGTCGCCTGGCGCTCTAAGTGCTGGAGCCATTAGCGGCACTTGCATCGATCCGTGCATACAGATATGCCTGGCTAGGCCGCGGGTGCGCGCACCACGGCGCTCGGGGGAACACACAGACTGCGTGTGGAACGGCGTTAAAAATACGTTATTTCAAGTACTTTTAGCTTTTCAAAGGGGAAGTGGGAAAGCACCTTGTTCCCAAGTCTACAGATGATCTCTGGAGCCGCAGCGGCATCCTTAGGCTTCTGTTGTCACTCTAGAGCAATGAGAGGACAAAGCTCGCTACGAGGTTTGTAACCTCTGGGGTGAGCCAGAGCAGTTGGAAACAACTGCTAGTGTAAGTGGGGGTGGGAGTGCAAATAATTATAATATTGATGTATTATCGTGGGGGTGGAGGGAGATGGACACAAAGAAATGACCCCGGAGTACACCACAGCCTTTTGAGAACCTTCTACCGTGTTTATAATCAAGCCGAAAAGGGCTACAGAAAATGAGTTATAAAATTGTCTGTAGTGGCTTTTCTTAGTTAGCCGCGTGCACAACCAGTGTAATTTCAGCTTAAATGTTCTGAATTAATAAACTATATTGCAGGAATGTTGAGAGCTTTAAAATAAATCATACTCTATTTATTTAAGTATCTTAGCCTTAAAGTGTGTGGTTAGTTTCTGTGTTGTGGTTCTGGAAAAAATTAGTAGATTTTTAAAACGCATTCTATGTAGTTAGTGCCATGCCTCTGTTGAACACATGCTACCTATGCTTGTTAGTTCATTTTAGCTGGGAAAACAAAAGGTTAGGACTTATTTTGCTGCTCTTGTTTGAATTTTGGTAATGTTTTTTCAAGTCTTAATTGTATGAATTCATGATACAAAAATACCCAGCATTTTTATTTTGTGTTTATGTTGTCCTGAATACTTTCTTGATGATGATGATTCATTTGCTTTACAGAGTGAATTATGTTTAACAAAGTAGTAGAACTTTCTTAACTTATTAAATCAGAGGTATACTTGTTAACATTTGTTTGGCCTGTCAAATTAGATACAGTAAAGTTTGACTGCAATAGTATGAGTAGTCATTTGTCAAAAGTTATTTTGAAAACAGTGCATCAAGATACAGTTTAAAAAATGTAAAGATGGAACCAATTTAATCTAAAAAATACTTTGTTCTTCTATAATATATTCCTGATGTACCATTATTTATTTGAAGCTCAGCATCTTTTTAAACTTCCTGTTTGAGAAGGATGAGGTTAGAATAAGAACAAATTGAGCGACTGGAATATCGTGATGTCGCTTATGTTTAGTGTAGTCATTGTACTGCTGCTGCATCCTGCAGGCTCTGATACTTCTGACATCACAAATTCCAGAGAGGCTTTTCTCAGTGTGGCTGATTATATCAAAAAGATTTTTGAGTAAAACAGAAGAGAGATAGGAGCGGGGTTTTCCTTGTTCTAAACTGGATTCTAAACCATCAGTTTCTACCAGTGCTAGATCTATATGTACAGAAGGTTAAGCATTTGTTAAGTATGTGAAGTTGCAGTGTGTGGTATATTAATATACTACTGTGTTTTCTGTTTTAGTAAGGGCTTGTTTATCTAGTGGGAATGAATTGGTACTTTACAAAGGAGATTGACAGTTTCTGTGTATTCCCGTGTCTTGCCTTGTCTGTTTCTTTTTCTCTGGGGAAGCACTACACAAAGCCTTTGTGTTAGGCTGGAGGGGAGGAGAAACAGCTGCCTTTTCAGTACAAGACACCAGGATTCATCATGGTCTCACAGGGATGCACAGTTGTGGCACATGGACCAGCCACTGTCCTTCCTCCCTCGTTCTGTGAAAAAACTCTCAGCTCGAGAAACCTGAGCTTCCTTTGACTGATCTCTCTGAGCAGTGTGTTGTGCCATGGATTTAGCAGATCAATCTGAAGGGCCAATTGTTAGCGTATTGATGGGCAAGAATTAAAACATACAAAATTTCCAAAATACAAGGTTTATCTTAAGGAATTCAAGAGCTACGGGTCATGTGTGTTTAAAATTTTCTTGTTATGAGCTTGACTTCTTGTTCAGGATGAGAGTGAAAGAAACTTTTTCAAATCTTTTACTTGGCTATTTTTTTTTTTTTCCCCTTCTGTTTAAGAGTATAGTATCTAGGGTACTTAAGGGGGAATTAAACATGTTAATTTTTAAAGTGGAAATAATATATATGTTATATATAAAATAAATGGGACAGTTTCATTTTTCTGCTTGCCATGCACAAGTAGAGTGCTTTAATGCTTGTACTGTATTCTCTGTCATGCAGTGGCAGAATAAAGCTTGACTTCTCTCTTTTTGTTAGAAATATTGGGTACTATCTAATGTGTATTTTAGTAACTATATCTTGTATGTTCTTTCATAAAACTTCTTTGAAAATATCATCTAGTCTTTTACTTTTCCTTTACAGCTACATTTATTTATTAAAATTTTAGAAGCAGAATACTCCCCTCCCTTTGATTCAGTGCTAGGTGTTTAGTAGTGTGCTTTTGAGAGA